TGTGTCAAATGGTATTACATCCAAATTCTTAAAGAAAAAAAATAAATCAGTTAAAGGAGAAAAGAGATACTAAGACTACACTAATGGGGAACCTCAACTTTCCCTTATCATAAATAAATTAATTTAAAAAAAGAAAGAAATTAAGATGATAGAATTTTAGAAAAGTTACATATGATAGATATGTGGGCAAAATCAAATGGAAATAAAAAGGAATATGCTTTTTTTCTCTCAGTGGGTATGTACACAAAATTGACCATGTATTAGGGCATCACAACCTCACAAACAAATACATAAAATAAAAAATAGCAAATGCTTCGCTTTCAGATTGCAGTTCAACAAAAAAAAAAATACATTTAATAAAGGGCTTTGGAAACACAGATTAGAAGCTAGTTGGAAACTAAATAATCTAATTCTAAAGAATGAATGGGTCAAGGAACAAATCATAAAGTCATTCAACAATTTCATTAAAGGGAATTATAACCATGAGATAATGTACCAAAATTCATAAGAATTGTCCAAAACAGTACTTAGGAGGAAAATCATATGTCTAAATGCTTACATCAATAACAGAAAGAGCAGACCAGTGGTTTGATATGCAATAAAAAAAAAAACTTAGAAAAGAACAAATTAAATATTCCCAGTTAAAACAACAAATTGGAAATCCTAAAAATTAGAGGAGAAATTAACGAAATTTAAAGTAAGAAAACCATTGAACTAATAAATAAAAGTAAGAACTTGTTTTATGAAAAATAATAAAATAGATAAACCATTGGTTAATTTTATGTAAAAATAAGAAAGAAGAGAACCAAATTACCAGTATCAAAAATTTAAAAAAAGTAAATAAAACTCATTGAAAATGAATTAAAGTGGTTGTCAGAAGCTATTTTGTCCACTTACATGTCAATAAATTCAAGTAAGTGAAATGGATGAGTATTTACTATACCATAAATTTTCCAGATTAACTGAAGAGGAAATAGAATACTTGAATAACCCTATCATAGAAAAAGAAATTGAACAAGCCATCAATGAGTTCTCTAAGAAAAAAATTCCAGAACAAAATGGATTCAAAAATGAATTCTATCAAACATTTAAAGGACCATTAATTCCAATACTATATAAATGATTTGGAAAAGAAACCCCCCCCAAAAAAAAGACCTGCAAAATTCCTTTCATGACACAAATATGATGTTGATACCTAAGCCAGGAAGCACAAAAGAGTGAAAGTAAACTATAGAGCAATATCTTTAATCATTACTAAAGCAAAAAAAAATCTAAATAAAATAATAGGAAGGAGATAAAAGCAATATATTACATACATACAACAAAAATTATACACCATGACCAGGTGGGATTTATACCAGTAATTCAGGGCTGGTCAAATATTAAGAAAACTATCAGCATCATTAACCATATTAATAACAAAATGAACAGAAATCTTTTGAGAAAACAGATCATTAATTCTTATTAAAAACACTAGAAGGCAGAGAAATAAATGGAGCTTTCCTTAAAATGATAAGTAATATCTATCCAAAACCCATCAGCAAATATCGTCTTTAATGGTGGGGATAAGCTAGAAACTTTCACAATAAGATCAGTGGTGAAGCAAGAATGCCTATCCCCACTACTCTTATTCAATATTGTACTAGAAATGCTAGCTATAGCAATAAGAGAAGAAAAAGAAATTCAAGGAATTAGAATAATAAATGAGAAAACAAAGCTAACGTTATTTGCAGATGATATGATGGTTTACTTGGACAATCCTAGAGAATCAACTAAAAAAAATCCTAGTTGAACTTATTAACAACTTTAGCACAGTTGTTAGATACAAAGTAAACCCACCTAAATCATGAGCACTTTATTACCAACAAAGTTCAGCAGCAAGAAATAGAAAGAGAAGTTCCAATTAAAATAACTATAGATAATAAAAATTACTCAGGAATCTACCTGCTAAGACAAACCCAGGAATTACATGAACACAACTACAAAATACTTTTCATATGAGTCAGATCCAAGTGATTGGTAAAATATTAATTGCTCATGGGTACACTGAGTCAAAATAATAAAACAGCAATTCTACTTAAATTAATTTACTTATTCAGTGCCAGAATAATCAAACTATCAAAAAATTATAGAGCTAGAAAAAATAGTAACATGTAGAAGAACAAAACTTCAAAAATAACAAGGAAATAAATGAAAAAAAAATTTAAAGGAAACTGGCCTAGCTGTACCAGATCTCAAAGTGCATTACGAAGCAAGATCAAAATAATCTGATACTGGCTAAGAAATAGAGTGGCAGATCAGTGGAGTAGATTAAGTACACAATACACAATAATGAATGACCAGAGTAATCCAGTATTTGATAAATGCAAAGATCCAAATTTTTAGGACATTGACTCACAATTTGACAAAAACTACTGGGAAAACTGGAAAGCAGTTTGGCAGAAATGAGGCATAGACTGAAATCTCACACTAGATAACATCTAAATGAGCATAGTGTTTAGACATAAAAGTCGATAGCATAATCAAGTTAGGGCAGCATGGAATCACTTCGTTGTCAGATATGTGGATAAGAGAAGAATTTATGACCAAATACAACACAGAGAGGATCACAGGATGCAAAAAAAAAAAAATGACAGTTTTGATTACTTTAAATTAAAAAGGTTTTGCAGAAACAAATCCAATACAACCAAAGTTAGAAGAAAAGTAGGAAACTGGGAAAAATTTATAGCAAGTGTCTCTGAGGAAGGCCTAATTTCTTAAATGTATAGAGAACTGAGTCAAATTTATAAGAATATGAGTCATTCCCCAAAAGATAAATGGTCGTAGGATATAAAGAGGCAATTTCCAGAAGAAGACATCAAAGTTATCTATAGTCATATAAAATGCTCTAAATTACTATTGATTAGAGAAATGCAAATTAAAACAACTCTAAGGTACTACCTCACACCTATTAGAGTGGCTAATATGACAGAAAAGGAAAATGACAAGTTTTGGAGGGGATTTGGGAAAACTGAGACACTAATATACTATTGCTGGAGTTGTGAACTGATCATATCATTCTGGAGATCAATTAGGAACAGTGCCCAAAGGTTGATAAAATTGTGCATACTCTTTGACTCAGCAATTACACTGCTAGGTTTGTACCCTAAAGAGATTGAAGAAAAAGGATGTATATTATATACAAAAGTATTTATAGCAGCTCTTATTGTGATGGTGAAGAATTGGAAATTGAGGGGATGCCTATCAGTTGAGGAATGGCTGAACAAGCTGTGGCATATGATTGTGATGGAATATTATTGTGCTATAAGAAATAATAGGCAGGATGCTTTCAGAAAGACCTGCAAAGACTTACATGAACTGATGCAAAGTGAATTGAGCAGAAACAGGGCAATAGTGTACACACTGATAGCAATATTGTACTTGCAACTGTGAAAGGCATAGCTATTCTAAGCAACATAATGATCTAAGACAATTCTGAAGGACTAAGGATAAAAAATGCTATCCACCTCCAAAGAAAGAACTAATATAGTCTGAATGCAAATTGAGGCATACTTTTTAAAAATTTATTTGTTTTCCTTGTTGTTGTTGTTGTTTTGGATATCTGTGTTTTCTTTCACTGCATGTCTAATCTGGAAATACATTTTGCATGTATGGCCTACATCAAATTGCTTGCCTTCTCAATAAGGGGGTAGGGAAAGATTAAGGGAGAGAATTTGGAACTCAAATTTAAGAAAATGGATGTCAAAATTGTTTTTACACATAATTGGAAAAAAACATATATATATATGTATATAAAATTCAACAGGGAATTTTCATGTGATTTTCTAATGCAAAGTGGCACAATTGCAAATTAACAATTTTAAAGATCTTTTCCTTTTAATCTGGCCACATCAAAAAACATTTTCTGAACACAAGTTCTTCACTAACTCTTCTCCATTTTTACCTGTGTTTAAGGGCATGTTTCTAATGATAATGAACTTCAGCAGCCTTCAAAACCTACATCATATTTTAAAATTTGATTCAAATTATTCCTCTAGTAAAATCTTCTGAGGCTTTCCTAGTAGATTAGTTGAGGGAGTCCTCAAACTTGTGAATTTATGGATCCTGGAATTATTGACCTAGTAAAATTCTTGTCTCCTTCCTCATTTCTTCTGTTCTATGTTATTTTACTTTGAATACTTAGCTCTTCTGCATTGCCTGATGTTCTTAGATGATTAAACCTAAGGGATAATATAATTTTAAATTGCAGTCACGAACTTTGCTATTGTCTTATTTCTCGGTAATTACATGTTCATTCCATACTTGAATCATCATATTAATGTTACACATTAGAATTAAGATTTGAATTAGTCAGACTTTACTCTGAGAGGAAAGAGTACAAATATTATAAAGAGATTTTGAAAATATAATTTCCAAAACCTTCTGCTCTTCAACACAGAGGGATGTGGTAGGTAGAGCAAAGGATTGGTACTCAGCAAGCCCAGACTACAGCTAGTCTTGATTTTCCCTATTGTGCCCAATCCATAAGGAAAATCTGGGGAAGATGATGGCTAATTTAGGATTCTTTAAAAGGTGTGAATGTGTTCTTCATTTTATTATCTGCAAAATAAGGCTGACTAGCTGTTCTGTTTGTTCATTTACCATCATTGAAACCATTGAATATAGGCATATTTACTCATTACAATTGGGCAAAATAAGTAGATGGGTAAAAATTGAGTAATAAAAGCAAAAAAAACGCCTGCTATTAGTTGACTCTACACATTATTAAAATGTAAGTTACAGACAAAGTTTGGTTGTATCACTGGGTCCAAATAAATAACATTATGAATGATGAAAATTAAAATAGACATGATGCTTTAGAAATACTTTGTTTTGTAAGAGCTAATTTTTCTAACCAACCAATTAGATTTAAGTGCTTTATTTTTATATGCAGGATTATATCAGTTCACACATAATCTACCTGGATTTTTCCACTTCTGTTTTTTTTTCTTTTTCTGTAGATTGCTGCCAATTCCTGGGGAAAGTCATGGGGAGAGAATGGATATTTCAGGATTCTTCGCGGTGTGAATGAGTCTGACATTGAAAAGTTGATTATCGCTGCTTGGGGCCATTTGACAAGTTCAGATGAACCATAATATATCATCAAATTTGCTTGACGCCCTGCATTTAAGTAAACCTCTTAAAATGAGGTTTTGCAACTTGAGGGTCCCTCTAACAATGGAATGTAAATGTCCTAACGTGATTAATTCATAACTGTTTTTTGTTTTGTTTTAACTCAGCACTATACTGCTGCTTTCTTTATTTCACTGAGTTACACAAAACCATTAATACAGCACAGCAGTAGTATAAGCTACACAAAGCTCTTTTAAAGTGTCTCATCTCTTCTTTCTTCTTTAGTGTTAGGGCCTTTAATGGTTCACCATCTGTGATAAGACATCATTTCTCAGCATCATTTGCTTAAAAGGATGAGAACACCCATTAACAGAAATGGTAGTTCATTTCTTCAGTGGTACAAGTCTCAAGAGCACAAAAAATGAAGGAGTGATCCTGTCCTTTTATATCTGTGTCACTTTTTTTATGGTGATTCTTTCCTCAATACAAATATGGCCCATGTGACACTGAAAACAGTGAAATTAGATTTTTTTTTCTCCCAATGACCTGGCAGTTATCACTCATTTCCTTTGGAAGTAGCAGATTTTTTTTTTTTACAGCACTTCCGTGACTTACATGACATGATTTACAGGAAAATCCATACACAGGAAGCTGCTGCAGTTCTGTATGTAACAAAATATGATAGGAAATAGATGTCATGTAATATGAAAAGGTGGAGTGCTAGGAAAAGAAAGCCTACTCTTGTCCTGCTTTCAATGTTTCTAAAACTTCTCTGAAGCTTATTGAAATTAGTTACACAATTGTAATTGGAAAGATTGTATTTTTTCCTTCTGAAAACAGCAACATGACGCCTTGAGTCAGAAAGAATAAATATCCCTTTATCACAATCATTTCACAGTTCACTGCTTGAGTTTCTGAAAAGTAAGCTTAATTGGTGTTAATTTGCATCTAATCTTGATTTCAGTTTTCAACAGTTGTAGACACAAAAATAGCCTCATCATAATCACTGAGCAAGGAAATAATCTAATAATTTACTGACATCTTGAAATGGCGAACTAATAAATGAAGACACAAAGCTGATCATTATACACATGACAATGGTGAATTGCAGTGACTTGCATGGATGGAGGTAAAGAGAGGAGTTAAACATTGTTATGTTGCTTATTTCTTTGATATCCAAGAGCTTGATTCTTAACATTTAACATTTTTCAGCTTAATTTTTGTATAGGGCTAAAATTCTCCAATTAGATTGGTAAGGACTTATTCTGATCAGGATGTGGATAATATGACATAGAGGAAGGTAGTGTGCAAAGATGTGGCACAGGGGAAAGAATATTAAGTTGGAAATTAGGAGATTTGAGTTCTATCCCAGACTCTGTCACTGACTTACCTTATCACTTTGACCAATCCTCTTTAACTACTTTAATTTACAGGGACCCTAGTTTCTTTATCCATAAAATATAACCGAGTGATCTCTAAGTTCCCTTCCACCTTCAACATTTGATAATTTTAAGATAGTGGATCTCAAAGAGTTTGCTGCTGGACCCTTCCTGGTGTTTGGTGAATTGTACGGAACTTTTGCAATGACATGCACATGTGTGAGACTCTTGACTGTACCGTTTTGAGCTGTGGTTCTTTACAGCAAAAAATAATGGGGTGCCATGAGCAAAGCCAAAAACATCTCCCCCCCCAAAAAAATTTTGAGAGCCACTGTTCTAAGAAAATATTTAACAACTCCCTAATTAGGAGATTTAATCTGCAGAACTGGACCATATCAGAGGTATAAGGGGCCTCAGGAGCTAACTAATATAATCAAGGCCTGAATAACTATCTCTTCCTCAACACTGTTAATTCATGTTGCACTTACATCCTCATGTCCCCCAGATCTTTTCATACCAAATGCTTTCTGTCTATCCCTCCTCCATCTTGTACTTGTGAAGTTGAGTTATTTAACCTGTGTAAGAATTTATATTTATCCATATTAAATTGCATTGTACTAGATTTGACCATATGTTCTAGTCTGTTTATCTTTACCAAAATATCTTCTGTTATACTTCATGCTCTTGCTCCTAGATTCTTTTGAATGAGTACATTCTTTTAGCATGCAAAGCTGATGCACATCTTTTTAACTATTCTGTTCCTTTTGAATTAATTATGTTACCAGGGTCTATAGTACAGGCTACGGGTCCTATCCCGAGAAGTCTCAATAACAAGTCTGAGGTTAAATTTGTAACCCTAGACTGGTATTTCCTTATTTGTTACCCATGATCTACACATATGTGTATGTAAATCTAAGGCCACGAGCTTTTTAAATTAGTCCTTTTGTAGATTTTAATCTACTCTGAATTTTTGCAGATATCCTTCTCATATTGCAACAATCTTGCTTGGTGGGAATGTGTACATTAGTTTTCTGTCACTTCTCCCTTCCTCTTTGGCTTTAAAGCCCTTTTGGTTATATTTGCACGACTGAGAAAATACATTTTTTACCAACATTTATTAGATATACTCCATATTTGGCCAAGAGCTCTTCTTTCCCATATTTTAAGTGATGTTATAGAAATTCAAAACATGTTCTCACACAGCATCTTCTTAAATGATTATTTACTTCACAATTTTTCTTTGCCCCACAAAGGGTATATGAAATGAGCCATGCAACTTCCAGAAAAGTAAAAAGAACTTGATGTTAAATGTATTTTCTGATGTTTCCCAGGTGATATAAGATATAATCTGCACTGTAATCATAAGGTGGCATTTGTTCCATAAAAATCTTGGAAATAGATTTGGGTAAACCTTTCTCTACCATTCAGATGGATAATAGTTAAGATTTCAAAAATAATTTTATATCTGGGTGATAATAATATAAAAGGGAACTCATGAAACCATAGAATATACAGTATGATTTTACTGAAGAACTATAAGTGTTTTGAGTATATTAGGGAGATCATTGAATTGGAATGGGACCTGATAGATTATCTAACGCAATAGCATCATTTTAGAGCTGGGGAAACTGAAGCCCAGAAAGACACAGCATCAGATCCAAGATCACAAAAGTAATAAATACCAGATCTACTGTTTGAACCCCTTGTCTTCTGGCCTCAGACACAGCATTTGTTTCACTGGACCACATTCTCTAAAACACATTCTTCTATCTCTAAATCTTATTATTTGCTGGAAAATAAGTGCAAAATTCAACACTGAGGTGCTAATAGACCTTTCCTGTGTGATTTTTTTTTCTGACTAGATTAATTATTTCATTGATATTGGAAACTCCCTCACGCACAACAGTACTTATTCTGTAACTTGTAATCTTAGAGTTGCCTGGGTCACTGAGAGTTCAAGCAACTTGTCCACAATTCCAAAGCCAGTACATATTAGAGACAGACCTTGAACCTAGGTTGTCTTGTCTCTGAGGCCAGCTCTGTCCTCTATTCCATGATGCCTCTCTGAGCTTTCACAAGAATCGTTTTACAGAACTAAATCATTCTCTTTTGCCATTTCAGGATTCAAATACCCAGGAGTTCTAGTTCAATCCTATTAAACTGCTTTTCATATTGGATGAGACTATTTGACCTAAATAGGTACTTTGCAAGGGCTTGTAACAGCTGTAATCAAAGCACCCAGTGAAAATTCAGTTGTGGGGTTGGGTTACTGTCTAAGGTATGACAACTCCTGTGTGTGGTTGAGGTAGTCTAGAGACATAGGTTGAGTTAAAAAGTTTAAATAACTTCAAGGCTAACCTTTTGAAGGGAATGTGATTGGGTTTCAGAACAATGAGGGCCAAGTACTGAAGTCATGGGGAGAAAAGAGAGTGACTAGTATAACCATAAACTATATAAACAAAGATCTGAGCAGAATATAGCAAACTTTAAAGCAGAAAGATGGTTGCTGGGTGGTAATGGCAGAGACAGGGTATAAAGTGCTGTCTCTTTCTGGCTTTGTGACTGCAGGGGAAGTTTTTGACAGCCTTTGAGACAGTGCCAAGAGATTTAGTGTCTTCAGGAGACAGAAGAAATGCGAGAAGATGATATCTGGGATCAAGAGAAGCTAGTTAACACTAGCTCCAATAGGCTCAGGGGAGAGAGAAAGTAGAAGCTCTATGGCTGAGCTTGGCAGGGAAAAAAGTGGTGGGGAGAGTATTTCTGCCTAGGCAAAAAGCAATTCTGAATCACAAGATGTGGAACAGCAGCACATGCATGGGGAGTAAAGAGAAGCTAAATCAGATTCCAGGTTCTAATTAAGATAGTCTGTAAATGCCTCTGTCAAATTTGATGCTGTCCCTCAGATGGTTATAGCAGGGTGGGAGTGTGGTGGATTATTTGTTTGACAGCAATCATACCTCCTCTTATCATAATCATTGGCACAATTTCTTGAGTCCTTATTCCCATGCAGAGTATTGTGCTTGGTGCTAGACAGTCTGAGAGAAGGTGTGAGAGACAACCTTTAACTCTGTGCTACTGTGATTTATTGATCCTGCTACTTCTCTGTGCCATGGGTCCCCAGGTCATTTGGAGCAAGGAAGGAAGTCTGCTCTGGTAGAAACGTGGCTTGGGGAGAAGACGTGATAGGCATGAAACTCTAAGGAGTGGCAGCCAGGGGTGAGCAAAGGAAAAGGATCAGTGAAGCACCTGGTACTCACTCTGTGTGAGGAAGGATATAGAGTCAGGGGATATTCACCCTATTATCAATGACTTTCCTCCTTAATTCCCTGCTGGTTCTGGCTCTGGCACTGAAGTGAACAGCAATAATTGAAGTTGCCTGCCTGGTTTTTTCTCACCCAGTTCACATCATGATTGTTGCCTGGGGACGTTCCATTTAATCTGGTCATTCCAAGTAGTTTCTGAAACAAGACAGTAGAGGATTTTTCTTCCTTTTTTTCCCCAGATGTTAAGAAGAGTCAAACCTGAGGAAAAAAATTAGGACAGGCCTTCCTCCTGAGATGGAGGACTGTCTTTTGTTTTTCTTTGTGTTCCCAACTTAGTATGCTGCCTAACATGTATTAGGTACCTAATGCTAGTTGACTCTAACCTTGGGCCTTCACAGTCTCCATTTCCTCATTTTAAAATGGGTTTAAAAATACGTTATCAGATTTTTTTTTTCACAATTAGCTTCTTGTGAGAGGAAAAAAAAAGATTAACAAAACACTACTTGAATGTTTTGCAGCAGATGGATTATTATAAACAACAGATGAGTTATGATCATCATTATCCTCATTATCTTCATCATTTTGTCTAATTCTCACCAGTCCCTTGGAATGTGGATAGGTTTGAATGAGATAACAAATAATTTGTTCCATTGAATTTGAAGAGGAGGAATTTTTTTTTTTTTACAGTTTAGCTCAGGTCACATAGAGTCAGTGGTAGAATTACTCTACCACACTGAGTGAAGTTTTTGATTAGTAAGGTAGTGTACAGTCCCACAGAATATGCTGCTTACTAATACAATTTCTTTATTGAGTCTGTATACTCTTTAGGGCAAAGACTACTAGAAGTCTTTAGGGGAGTACATTGTCCCTCCCAATCCCCTTTCACTTCCTTCATTTTGGTAAGACATTGGCTCAGTTTCCTCATGGTGCTGGTAAAAATTGGAGCTCAGTGCATTTATTTTACTTTTTTTTTTATTTGAGAGGAGAGTGATTCAATCTTCAAAAAGCATGAAAAGAAGGGATTTTTTTCTTTATGCACATGTATTTTATGAAGGCTTCAACACATCAGAGTGTATCAGAGAAAAAGATCCTAAGGGCCACACCTACAGATTTTGCTCAGAAAAATTAAACAAAGGGGAGAAAGTAATCATCTGCCAATGTCAAACAAAAGAAAACTGAATGGTGTAGAAGAGAAATATCTATTTCTCCCTTCAGCTCTAAAGGCTGCCATACATCATTTTGATGCTA